TATTAAAATTACTCCTAAACCCCACCTTTCCCCCCCCCCCCCCCCCCAAAAAAAAATTGTCTTGACCTGTGTGGAAAATGCATTTGCAAACCCTGAGATCTCTCGCAGAGCCGTAACGGTGAAGACAGGGCTGGCTTCACCCCAAATATTGGCGGGGAGCGTCTCGCAGGCTGGGCGTTTCGGGATGGGCACGTGTCAGACGGAGGCGTTGCATTTCTCTCCGTCTCCTGCCATCGGTGGGGAGAGCGGGAAAGGGTCTTTCTGGCAAACCCACTTGTGGTCGCCTTCACAGATTTCGCCATCGAACCCCTTGTCTTTCAGTGTCCCGCACCCTTCATCCACCTCCTGCAGGGTGCCAAACCTGCAGAACGAAAATTTTATTGCGTGAGAGGAGCAAACTCTTCCAGGCGTGCAGAAGAGGGGAGGCCCTTTTTCTGCACCATCTCATCGTGCTACAAATGATTCCTCGCTGGTGGGTTGCCCAGATTTGAGTGCAGGTTGCTGTGCTTGCAATAAGATCTGCAAGGAGCATGCGTGGGCCGTTAAAAGCCGTGTTGGTCGCATGGGTGCGGTGGGAGGTGTTGGGTTACTGTGCTCCATAAACCCCCAACTCTCGGTCTGCAAAACTTCGTGCAAGGGGAATACGAGACCCTCGCACGGACAGCAAAATCTTGGAGGGGTGGGTTGGGGCATGCTCCGGGTCTGAGATGGAGCAAAGCCGCTTTTTATGCTAACAGATTGTGGATACACTCACATTTTGATATTAAAGGATGTGTTGTCCATCCATATCCACTTCTTGCGGAATATTAATCCGATCCACACCGGCTGTATGCCTCCGCCTGTGATAATCTTGATGTACTCCTGGGAAATGGAGGTGACCCAGTTGCTTCCGAAATCTCTCTGTGGAGAGTTCCGTGGGGTGCAAAGCCACGGAGTAAAGCTGACTTGTTTCATCCCCCAATAGATGGGACATGAATGTCCCCTGTGCTTTGAATGCCGCCATGCACCATCTCTAAAGGCAGCTCTGGGGTGAAAACAGCTTAAATTCAGAGCCTGAGACACCGATGTCCCCATCTGAGCTCTGCATCCCTCCTCTTCCTCCCATGTCACGGGTGGGTGGGGGGACACAGAGCGGCTTTAGGTGATGATTCAGCCCCTTTTTCTTCCCGGTCGCTTCTTAGGAGACATCAGAGCAGGAGATGGGTGAGAGCCACTGTTGCAGCCCCAAACCCTCCTGCTGCCAGGCACTTTTTGCTCCCCTGCCCACCTCAGAAAAAAAGTCTTTCAGGTCCCTTTCAAGCCTTCTCCTCCGTTATTTACCTTTTCTTTCTTGTTCCGGAGCACTACCAGCTGAGACTTCTGATTTTCGCAGCCTGTCTTGCCTTGATTCCAATTTCCTGTTTCCTTGGAAAGCCAGTAGCATCTGTCCCCGTGGAGCTGCCAGTCCTGGGGACACAGCTTGCAGCCGGCACGGGCTGAAGAGGAGAAAGAGCCGTGAGATGCCCCAAAGGGTGGTCAAGGTCTTGCCCATCCACCAGCTGAAAGGCACCGAGGGCTTCCCCATCCCACACCCCGGCCCTTTGCCCATCCTTGAGGGGTTTTTTTTCACACCGTTGTGGTTTTTCCTGCTCAGCCACCGGCGAGGAGGAGGAGGAGGACTTCGGTGGGGTGACCGCAAGGACACTAATGGCTGGTTGGGGGTGGAGGAAGGGTGGTGAGGAACCTCCTCCTTAGGTTTGACCCTGCTGCCTCTCCATGGAAGAGGGGTCAGCAAAAATTGCACGCAAAAGATAATTCTTCTTTGCAACGCTCCTCTTGGCCAAAATAACCCTTGGTGGACTTGCACCCCCCCAAGGTGCCTCCTTGCAATTGGGTGGGAGGGAAGCCCCATCAAAGGTCCCACCCGAGCGTCTCCCAGCAGAGCCGGGTGGGAAGGGGGTTACCTGCGGGGCTGTCCTGCCGGGGCTCGCAGAAATACTGCATCAGGGATGAAATCAGGCATCGCTCCGTGTGGTTCCTTGCCCGGATCTCATCGCCTTGCGAGGGAATGCTTGTCATCGCTGGCTGCAGAGAGCCCTGAAAAACTTGGAGGAATGACCTGGGGTGAGAGGCTGCGGCTCTTTGGGGGTAAAAACCACAAAAAACCGGGTAGGGCTGGGTTTGATTTTGTGCCAGCCTCCTTTTTCCCCCCGCCACGGTTGCACCCGCTTAATTGAGGCAGCCTGGAAATCATGGCTTGTGTCCTCCACCCTTGTTTGAAAGCTACGGGGATAGTCCAGGTTTATTTCAGAGGGGGTTTACTCTTGGCGGGTGATGCATCTCGTTGCGTCTCCGTGGGGCAACCGCGTTCCCCTCCAAAGGCTGAAACGCCGAAATAAATCCTGACTTCCCCTCCCAGCCCGTTCGCTGGGTTTTGAGACGTAGATAAGAGGTGGTTACTCACCCTGCACGCTCAGCACCACCACCAGCACCAGCAGGATGAGGTGCCCCAGCCCACTGACTTTGAGGAGGACCCCGTGCCACTGTGGGCACAAGGCAGGAGCTGAAAGAGGCCACATTTGCTTAAAAAAAAAAGAATGTACATTTTTCACATGAAAAAGCTGGGAGCTTTTTGAGGAGGGGGGGGAAAAAAAAACCAAACCAAACCCAAAATGCCCCTCTGTCAAGCCAGCGAGTTTGAGCAGAAGTTTACAGCTGTTTGGCTTCCTCCAAAAAAAATAAATCGCCCCTGATGAGATCTAGAGATTGGATGCAGGAGTGAGGGCATCATCTCAGGGTGGTTTTTCAGGCGGTGGAGGGGCTGCAGGTAGCCTCGAGAGCAGCCTCGGGCAGCCAACGATGGAGCTTAGCGGACCTGAAACCTTCTGAAACTGGCTGAATTTAGAGCAGGCGAAACCCTCTCGCGGTAGAGCCGGGAGTCGGTGGGACATGGGGTCTCTCCAGACCTCATCTCCACCGGGATCCCAGCCGTGGTCTCAGCAGGCTTTGCTTTCTGTTGAGGTGTGTTGGCTCGCGCTGGGCTTCTTGGGACCCATTTTTGCCACCAAGTGAAAGGTCTCAGAGGCAAAACTGTTCAGCCTCCGGGCGTTCGCTGGCTTCCCTCTCCCCCAACCCTTCCTCGCTTTTTCCCCCCCCCCTCTACGCAAGCCAGGATCCCACCTCAGAGGACATTTAATCCGTCCAACGTTCTCCGTGTATCTTGGAAGCATCAACGCGGGGATGGGGGAGCAAGCAAACCCAGAAGTCTTGGGGGAGAGGGAATGGGGAGCAACCTATCCCCCCCCCCAAAAAAAAAAAATAACACTTACCGTGACGCTTCTCGGCAGGAGAAAAACCGGCCCCAGGATGCCTTAAATCAGCATAAACTATTTCCCCAGCCATGGCCAGCTCAGAAGATCGAGAGCGCGTCCCAAGAGTGAAGCCGTTCTTGGGCAACCTCTCGCTTTATTGACCGACCCGCTCGCGCCTGCGTCCAGCCCCAGGAAATGGCATCGTCTGGGCCTT